CCCCAAAACCCCAAAACCCCATTGCTAAGATCGACCATTTTTGGTGAGTTGTATGAATTTTTAATATTAAAGTAATTGAGAGCGTGAACAAGGTATTTATGGTAGTATACATGGTTATTTTTATCCTAGAATCATGGGAAAAAGAGTAGGTTCTTGAAAATATCACTTTGATTGAAAGGAGGGTATCTTTATAGGGCTAAATTTCTTCATGCCTTACAGTAAATTGTAAAAATGGACCTACCATGAATTCATCTTGTGCCTCGAGTATCATTTCAGTCCAATCGGGTTCGTCTTCACTTCTGTAGGTTTCCTCCTAACTTTCCTCGTTCCATTACTAATAGATTTCCTCTGGATCTTTAAATTCATAAATCTTCTCATGGGTTGCTTTTGTTTCCTGTGAGATGAGAGCTCAATATTTTCAGTATGATGTTGATATTAATCGATCTCGGATAAATTTTGAAATCTTTCACAATATTCTCCTTCTGCAGATGCAATCATATCAAATAGGGAAGTATATTTTGAGGGCTTGGGACTCAATATATATAATCTTTCTACGCCTAGTATTTTGTATTCAAAGCTTGATGTGGCTTGTGTGATCCAATCTTATTCTTAAACTCGCATTTCAATAGCTCTCCCTGTGTTTTTAGTTCTCTCGGCAATTTACTGTCGATATAATGAAAGATGCGCTTTCCTTCAAGACCTAAGAAGTTATCATCTCCTTCATAAGTGTTTCTTTTCTTGTCTTAATGAAACCATTTCATAAGATACTCTAGCGTTTTAGTCTCAGGATCTTATCAATGCCCTTCTATTTTTTCAATCTCATAAAATTCATCCTCAGTATTAACCAATCGGGAAAGATTTTTACTACCTGCATAATGCATTCATCTTTGCTTGCATGGCTACCTGGTTGGCTATCTATTCGTTGAAATTTTGCTATTCATTATTTTATGCTGCAAGACGAAAACTAATGAGGGTATTAGATTTATATTAATACCCTGAATAATATAAGTATACCATTTACAGAAAGCAATCCATTAATTTCAATATTTGTTTATAGTATTTCAATTTTTTAGTAGAAACTCAATGTCGGGGTTTTGGGGTTTTGGGGTTTTGGGG